TGTTTTATGACATGACATGGTGTCCATTGTACAAATGACAGCAAAAAATATATAGCCATTATATACACGTTATTCAAATAGCATGCTAAGAGGACCTGTTGGGGAATGCGCAGTCATAAAACACCGTACACAAAATATGGCTTGACGTCTTCGTGCTCTACCAAACAGTATTTTTGCACAGCGAAATTTGAGTCATGGAGAAAGATATACAGTATGTTATTATGTTGGGTCACGGCGAGACCACAATGGTTAACTGTCAACAAGGTGCAATAGTGCCATAGTCCCAAACACACTGTGACAATGATGTTTCAATCTATGTCAACCATTGCTCACCCTTTATACAACAGGTGTTGAAATGTTGAACCAACCACGTTATTAATGTACACACACAGGTAACATAGTACAGTATGTAAATTACAGTAAGGTAGTGTTAAGTTAAATGAAAATGTTCAATACTGCATAATATAATTACTTTACTAGCCACATCAGGTACATAACAATACCTCTATTACTAAGTAAATCATTGATAATTACATAATTGCTATCACTATGGCTACATAATAATCTCCAAATACTGCAACAACCTGTAATGGAATATCTGATCTCTATTTAATATGTAAGATAATAGGAGAAATCCCCAAAACATAGGAACACTAGCCATATACAGCACTGTCATACAGACTTCTTCAAGTAGTACACATCAAAATAACAACACTGCAAGATTAATGACGTCCTCCATCCACTCCTGCAGAACACAGGTTATGTTGCAAACACTATCACAGCTTATTGTGAAATAGACACAAATTACTTATCAGAAATTTGTCCAGTACACGATTTTCTTCAGAACATATTTGTGTACATTACAAAATTGTCTTACAAATTCCAATTTGTTGTGGCTAATGTTAGCTAGGTTAGCTAGGCTGCTAACGTTAGCTAGGCTAGGGGTTAAAGTTAGGGTTAGGGGTTAGGGTTAGGGCTATGGGTTATGGGTTAAGGTTAGGGTTTAGGGAACATGCTACCTAAGTAGTTAAATTGTTAAGGTTATGGTTAGCTAACATGCTGGCTAATTAGTTAAAATGTAGTATTGGTAAGTAGTTGTAAAGTTGCTCATTAGCTAAAAAGCTAAAGTTGTCCATGATGTAATAATAATAATAATAATAATAATAATATGCCATTTAGCAGACGCTTTTATCCAAAGCGACTTACAGTCACATGTGTGATTTGAACTGTGTTCAAACTTTGTACGTGACCAATAAACGTATTTGACTTGATTTGAACATGCAACGTTTGGGTTGCTAGACCTTCATGACCCTATCATTTTTGTCTTAAGTAACCTACAGTCTTTATCTGTGATTGAAATGCACTGTATACAAAATCGTGTACTGGACACACAAAAAATTGACTTTTTCATGTGCCTGTCACGAATTTTGAATAAGTAATTTGTGTCTATTTCACCATAAGCTGTGATAGTGTGGTGTTGGTTGTGCAGAAATAGCTGGAGTGGTGCATTGATTGAGAGCTCATCAAGTAGGAGCCGATCAGCAGTACTACCGGCAGAGAGGTAACGAGGCCAAGTCCAGAATCAAAGGCAGTGGTATTTGAACCATTTATCTCTCAGTCACCAATGATCCAGGGCTGTTAGAAGACTTATAGCCCAGGGATCATCAACTAGATTCAGCCGCGGGCCTTTTTTATTTATTGAGCGGATGGACGGAGGGCCGGAACACAATAACAAATAATTTGTAGACTGCAAATTGATCACATCTCTCTTTTATGCATGGATATATATAAAATAACTTGGGAGCTGATTTCCGCAGGTTGGGGTACCCTGACCTAGACCATCTAGGCATAACTGACTGCTGGTGCGCTATGGGAGAGCTGCCAGAGAGCCAGACGACCTTGTTGATGTCATCAATATTGTGTTATTACCGTAATGGGTTTGGAGCGAGCAACGAGATTTCTCCACCTTTCACGGTTGCCGAAGGAAAAGAGCTTGGATCGTTTTAGTGTAATGAGTTAGTAGATTGGGTTCAGTGATCAATGCAGTTACCATCAAGTCTGGTTGACTGAGGATTTATTCAGTAAAATCCACTTATAGTCATGAGTTGTGGTAGTTGTGGTAATTGTGGTAGTTGTAGTAGCTACGGTAGTTGTGGTAGTTGTGGTAGCTGTGGTAGTTGTGGTAGCTGTGGTAGTTGTAGTAGCTGCGGTAGTTGTAGTAGCTACGGTAGTTGTGGTAGTTATGGTAGCGGTGGTAGTTGTGGTAGTTGTGGTAGCTATGGTAGTTGTGGTAGCTGTGGTAGTTGTGGTAGCTGCGGTAGTTGTAGTAGCTACGGTAGTTGTGGTAGTTGTGGTAGCTGTGGTAGTTGTAGTAGTTGTAGTAGCTGCGGTAGTTGTGGTAGTTGTGGTAGCTGTGGTAGCTGTGATAGTTGTGGTAGCTGTGGTAGTTGTGGTAGTTGTGGTAGTGTGGTAGTTGTGGTAGTTGTGGTAGTTGTGGTAGCTGTGGTAGTTGTGGTAGTTGTGGTAGCTGTGGTAGTTGTGGTAGTTGGGTGGTAGTTGTGGTAGTGTGGTAGTTGTGGTAGCTGGGTTTGGTAGTGTGGTAGTTGTGGTAGTTTGGTAGTTGTGTTGGTAGTTGTGTAGTAGTGGTGTTGTGGTAGTTTGGTCGGTAGTTTGTTGGTAGTTGTGTGAGGGGGTAGTTGTGGTAGTTGTGTAGTGTGAGTTTGTAGTGGTAGTTGTTGTTGGTAGCTGTGATGTTGTGGTAGTTGTGGTAGTTTGTGGTAGTTGTGGTAGCTGGTAGTTGTGTGTGTTGGTAGTGGGTAGTTGTGTGTTGGTAGTTGTGGAGGTGGTAGCTGTGGTAGTGTGTGTAGTTGTGGTAGCTGTGGTATGGTAGTTGTGGTAGTTGTGTTGGTAGTGTGGTAGTTGTGGTAGTTGTGCTGGTAGTTGGTAGTGGTAGTGGTGTGGTAGTTGTGGTAGCTGTGGTAGTTGGGTAGTTGTGGTAGCTTGGAGTTGTGGTGTAGTTGTGGTAGTGTGGTAGTTGTGTGGTAGTTGGTAGTGTAGTGGTAGTGTGGTAGTGTGTAGTGGTGTGTGTGTAGCTGGTTGTGGTAGTTGTGGTAGTTGTGGTAGTTGTGGTAGTTGTGGTAGTGGGTAGTTTGTGGTAGTTGTGTGGTATGTGTAGTGTGGTAGTGGGTAGTTGTTGGTAGTTGGGTGAGTGGTAGTGGGGTAGTTGTAGTGTGGTAGTTGTGGTAGTTGTGTAGCTTGTGGTAGTAGTGTGTTGGTAGTGTGGTAGTGTGGTAGTAGTGGTAGGTAGTTGTAGTGGTAGTTGTGGTAGTGGTAGTGGGTAGTTGTGGTAGTTGGCGTTGTGGAGTTGTGTGGTAGTTATGTGGTAGTTGTGGTAGTGGGTAGTGGGTTAGTTGTGTATTGGTGTGTAGTGCGTAGTTGTGGTAGTTGTGTTTTAGCTGTGGTAGTTGTGGTAGCTGGTAGTGGTGAGTTGTGGTAGTTGTGGTAGTTGGTAGTTGTGGTAGTTAGTAGTGGTAGTGTGGTAGTTGTGTAGTGTGGTAGGGTTAGTGGTAGTTGGTAGTGGGTAGTTGTGGTAGTTGGTAGTAGTGGTAGTTGTGTAGTTGGTAGTTGTGGTAGCGTGGTAGTTGTGTAGTTGGGTAGTTGTAGTTGGTACGTGTTTGGAGGAGTGGATTGTGTAGTGTAGTTGTGTAGTGTGATGTTGTTGTGGTAGTTGTGGTAGCTGTAGTGGTAGTTTGTGTAGTGGGGTTGTTGGGTATGTGTAGTTGGTGTGGTAGTTGTGGTAGTGTGGTGTGCTTGGTATTGCGGTAGTTGTGGTAGTTGGGTATGTTAGTGGTAGTTTGTAGCTGGGTAGTGGGTAGTTGGTGTTGGTTAGTTGTGGTAGCTGCGTAGTTGTGTAGTGTAGTGGTAGTTGTGGTAGCTGTGGTGGTAGCTGTGTAGTGTGGTAGTGCGGTAGTTGTGGTAGTTGCGGTAGTTGTGGTAGCTGCGGTAGTTGTGGTAGCTACAGTAGCTGTGGTAGTTGTGGTAGCTACGGTAGTTGTGGTAGCTTTGGTAGTTGTGTTAGTTGTGGTAGCTGCGGTAGTTGTGGTAGTTGTGGTAGCTGCGGTAGTTGTGGTAGTTGTGGTAGTTGTGGTAGTTCTGGGTAGTTGTGGAGTTGTGGTAGTTGTGGTCGCGGCGGTAGTTGTGTAGTTGTGGTTTAGTTGTGGTAGCTGCGGTAGTGGTGGTAGTTGGGTAGTTGTTGGTAGCTGCGGTAGTTGTGGTAGTTGCTGGTAGCTTGCGGTAGTTTGTTGGGTCGCTGCGGTAGGTGTGGTAGTTGTGGTAGTTGCAGTAGTTGTGGTAGTTGCGGTAGTTGTGGTAGCTGCGGTAGTTGTGGTAGCTACAGTACCTTTATTTGTTATACATTGGCTGCATTTTGGAAATCGCAGACAAAAGTCATACAAGGAAACACAATACAGCCTGATATAACATTTTGAAATAGCTGTGCTTCCGAAGCGAATCGATGTTGTTTTGGGTGTATAGAATCATTTATCTCCTAAAATACTCAATTTGGAAAATAAATCTCCTACCAACTGGCGTAGCGCTAGCCAAATGCTGTTACAGTAAACAAGACTAATGAAGGTAATGCTGAGAAAACAATGGAGAAAATATGCAAGTCATTGAAATAAAGGTCCTCTTTCCTCCTCACCCACCAACCGTTGGTAAGGAACCAGATAGTCCCATGTTGCTCAGTTGGTAGAGCATGGCGCTTGCAACGCCAGGGTTGTGGGTTTGATTCCCACAGGGGACAAGTATGAAAATGTATGCGCTAACTGTAAGTTGCTCTGTATAAGAGCGTCTGCAAAATGACTAAAAATGTAAATGATGGAGAGGTGAAAGAGGAGGCAGATTAAAACAGTCTAACTGATACAAATAACAAGCCAGGAAGTGCTTCAACACCTCCTGAGGTTACAACAAGAAACGGCCTCTGCTTTGTCGTTAGAAAGTGGATGTACGTACCAGGCTACACTAAGGAAAAGCCCCTTTACGAACAAGACACAGAGATGGGGGTAAAACATTCACATTATGCTACACTAAGGAAAAGCCCCTTTACAAACAGGACACAGAGATGGTGGGGGGGACATTCACATTATGCTAGGCTACACTAAGGAATAGCCCCTTTACAAACAGGACACAGAGATGGAGGGGGAAAACATTCACATTATGCTAGGCTACACTAAGGAAAAGCCCATTTACAAACAGGACACAGAGATGGAGGGGGGAAAACATTCATATTCTGCTCTTTGTCTGTCCTGCTCCTCCCCGACTTCTCCTCCCCCTCTCACACTCTTCTTTGTGTTTCTCCACTCTCGTCTTGCGGCCCTCGGCCCCCCCCCCCCCTCTCTCTCTCTCTCTCTCTCTCTCTCTCCAAGTTCACCGGGCCTCTCCAGCATATTTCACTCATCTTTTATAAAATATTACCCAGAGAGCTCAGGGATCCCTTTCATGCTATTGTCACACCATCTCCAAAGTCCCATCAAGCTGTCAATGGCGCTCGCTGAATTTATGAACACGCCGCCTTCAGTGGCTCCACCATCCGCCTGCAACACCCAACTCACCACATAATTAAATCAGAGGTAATGACCGGTGCCAAGCGGGGAGGGAGCAGACCTGAGAGTACAACTACTCCAGTGCCATTTTCAGTTTCCAGTCGTCTGGACGGTTTCTCTCCCTTCTCCTAGCTCCGCCGGCTGGCTTTAAAAAACAAGTGGGCATAAATTGAGAATGAGCTCGAATCTCCACCAGACCAAGGATAATTATGTTTCAATTATACATTCCCCTGTTGTATATTTGAAGAGAGTGGCCGAAGGACGCCCTCCTCACCATACCGATGTAACCTGTGTTAAGGCAATGAGTATTAGGCTACGGACACGTACGAAAACGCATCTGAATTTCATACTTGTACATTTTTGTCCGTCAAATGTTCAACTCACTTAAAACAAAATTGAACGATTTGCATACAGGCATACAACGGCAGACATATTATTAAGTTTTTTTGACTGACAATCATCTCCATTGTCCATCATTCGTCAACAGTTGACTCCCATTTAAAAACCATTGTCTCAATCAGTAAATTTCGGACACAAAATCTCTGTGTGGTCATTGCTTTATGTGAAACATTTTAGGTTTCAAACAAATGATTTGGAAGTCTGTGTGTAGCATGTGCAGTACCCTATCAACTGAGATTCAATAAGACGGGACGCTCCCAACAGCACTCTGCACTCATCCCTCCTCAGCAACCATCAGTACCACTCAACCAAAACACCATAAAACCATCAGTACCACTCAACCAAAACACCATAAAACCATCAGTCCTCCTACTAAACCAGCAAGCCTCACAGTCTCTCACTGGGCAAGTCTAAAATAGCTTCAACTAGCTGCCTTCCGCTACATCCATTAGACTTGTTTTATAGGATCAACATTGACAGATCTTTATAACCTCTTCAGTTCTTCAGTCCTCCACCTTCTAGTTGTCTCTTCCTCCCTGGAACATAATAGAACAATGACTGTCATTGATTGGCCAGATGGTCCACACTCCTTTTCCCAGAAGTTTCCCAAGGTAAAAGATGTCACCCTAAGGATCGGACCCTTTTTTTTCAATTTTGCCTAAAATGACATACCCAAATCAAACTGCCTGTAGCTCAGGACCTGAAGCAAGGATATGCATATTCTTGATACCATTTGAAAGGAAACACTTTGAAGTTTGTGTAAATGTGAAATTAATGTAGGAGAATATAACACATTAGATCTGGTAAAAGATAATACCAAAAAACAAACATGCATATTAATATTATGTTTTCATCATCTTTGAAATGCAAGAGAAAGGCCACAATATAATATTGCAGTTTAGGCGCAATTTAGAGTTTGGCCAGATTTCTTATTTATTTTTATTTTTATTTCACCTATATTTAACCAGGTAAGCCAGTTGAGAACAAGTTCTCATTTACAACTGTGACTTGGCCAAGATAAAGCAAAGCAGTGCGATAAAAACAACAACACAGGGTTACATATGGGGTAAAACAAAACATAAAGTCAAAAAATACAATATAAAATCTATATACAGTGTGTGCAAATGTAGCAAGTTATGGAGGTAAGGCAATAAATAGGCCATAGTGCAAAATAATTACAATTAGTATTAACACTGGAATGATAGATGTGCAAGAGATGATGTGCAAATAGAGATACTGGGGTGCAAATGAGCAAAATAAATAACAATATGGGGATGAGGTAGTTGGGTGGGCTAATTTCAGATGGGCTGTGTACAGGTGCAGTGATCGGTAAGGTGCTCTGACAACTGATGCTTAAAGTTAGTGAGGGAGATAAGAGTCTCCAGCTTCAGAGATTTTTGCAGTTCGTTCCAGTCATTGGCAGCAGAGAACTGGAAGGAATGGCGGCCAAAGGAGGTGTTGGCTTTGGGGATGACCAGTGAGATATACCCGCTGGAGCGCAGACTACAGGTGGGTGTTGCTATGGTGACCAATGAGCTAAGATAAGGCAGGGATTTGCCTAGCAGTGATTTATAGATGGCCTGGAGCCAGTGGGTTTGGCACAAATATGTAGTGAGGACCAGCCAACAAGAGCGTACAGGTCACAGTGGTGGGTAGTCTATGGGGCTTTGGTGACAATACGGATGGCACTGTGATAGACTACATCCAATTTGCTGAGTAGAGTGTTGGAGGCTATTTTGTAAATGACATCGCCGAAGTCAAGGATCGGTAGGATAGTCCGTTTTACGAGGGCATGTTTGGCAGCATGAGTGAAGGAGGCTTTGTTGCGAAATAGGAAGCCGATTCTAGGTTTAATTTTGGATTGGAGATGCTTAATGTGGGTCTGGAAGGAGAGTTTACAGTCTAACCAGACACCTAGGTATTTGTAGTTGTCCACATACTCTAGGTCAGACCCGTCGAGATTAGTGATTCTAGTCGGGTGGGCGGGTGCCAGCAGCGTTCGATTGAAGAGCATGCATTTAGTTTTACTTGTGTTTAAGAGCATTTGGAGGCTACGGAAGGAGTGTTGTATGGCATTGAAGCTCATTTGGAGGTTTGTTAACACAGTGTCCAATGAAGGGCCAGATGTATACAAAATGGTGTCGTCTGTGTAGAGGTGGATCTGAGAATCACCAGCAGCAAGAGCGACATCATTGATATACACAGAGAAAAGAGTCGGCCCAAGAATTGAACCCTGTGGCACCCCCATAGAGACTGCCATAGGTCCAGACAACAGGCCCTCCGATTTGACACATTGAACTCTATCTGAGAAGTAGTTGGTGAACCAGGCGAGGCAGTCATTTGAGAAACCAAGGCTATTTAGTCTGCCAATAAGAATGCGGTGGTTGACAGAGTCGAAAGCCTTGGCCAGGTCGATGAAGACGGCTGCACAGTACTGTCTATTATCGATCGCGGTTATAATATCGTTTAGGACCTTGAGCGTGGCTGAGGTGCACCCATGACCAGCTCGGAAACCGGATTGCCCTTGACCAGCACAAAAACATATTTTCAGGGAAGTCAGGAACCAATATACACAATCAGTTAGGAAAGCAAAGGCTAGCTTTTTCAAACAGAAATTTGCATCCTGTAGCACTAACTCCAAAAAGTTTTGGGACACTGTAAAGTCCATGGAAAATAAGAGCACCTCCTCCCAACTGCACACTGCACTGAGGCTAGGAAACACTGTCACGACCGATAAATCTACAATAATCGAGAATTTCAATAAGCATTTTGCTATGGCTGGCCATGCTTTCCACCTGGCTACCACTACCCCGGCCACCAGCTCTGCACCCTCCGCTGCAACTTGCCTATGCCCACCCCGCTTCTCCTTCACACAAATTCAGACAGCTGATGTTCTGAAAGAGCTGAAGAATCTGGACCCCTACAAATCAGCTGGGCTAGACAATCTGGACCCTTTCTTTCTAAAGTTAGCCGCCGAAATTGTCGCAACCCCTATTTCTAGCCTGTTCAACCTCTCTTTCATAACGTCTGAGATCCCCAGAGATTGGAAAGCTGCCGCGGTCATCCCCCTCTTCAAAGGGGATGACACTCTAGATCCAAACTGTTACAGACCTATATCCATCCTGCCCTGCCTTTCAAAAGTATTTGAAAGCCAAGTTAACAAACAGATCACCGACCATTTCGAATCTCACCGTACCTTCTCCGCTATGCAATCCGGTTTCCGAGCTGGTCATGGGTACACCTCAGCCACGCTCAAGGTCCTAAACGATATTATAACCGCGCTCAATAAAAGACAGTACTGCGCAGCCGTCTTCATCAACCTGGCCAAGGCTATCGACTCTGTCAACCATCAAATTCTTATTGGCAGACTAAATAGCCTTGGTTTCTCTAATGACTGCCTCACCTGGTTCACCAACTACTTCTCAGATAGAGTTCAATGTGTCAAATCGGAGGGCCTGTTGTCTGGACCTCTGGCCGTCTCTATGGGGGTGCCACAGGGTTCAATTCTCGGGCCAACTCTATTCTCTGTGTATATCAATGATGTTGCTCTTGCTGCTGGTGAAGCTCGGATCCACCTCTATGCAGAAGACACCATTTTGTATACATCTGGCCCTTCATTGGACACTGTGTTAACAAACCTCCAAACGAGCTTCAACGCCATACAACACTCCTTCCGTAGCCTCCAACTGCTCTCAAACACTAGTAAAACTAAATGCATGCTCTTCAACCGAACGCTGCTTGCACCCGCCCACCCGACTAGAATCACTACTCTCGGCGGGTCTGACCTAGAGTATGTGGACAACTACAAATACCTAGGTGTCTGGTTAGACTGTAAACTCTCCTTCCAGACCCACATTAAGCATCTCCAATCAAAAGTTAGATCTAGAATCGGCTTCCTATTTCGCAACAAAGCCTCCTTCGCTCATGCTGCCAAACATGCCCTCGTAAAACGGACTATCCTACCGATCCTTGACTTCGGCGATGTCATTTACAAAATAGCCTCCAACACTCTACTCAGCAAATTGGATGTAGTCTATCACAGTGCCATCCGTATTGTCACCAAAGCCCCATAGACTACCCACCACTGTGACCTGTACGCTCTTGTTGGCTGGTCCTCACTACATATTCGTGCCAAACCCACTGGCTCCAGGCCATCTATAAATCACTGCTATGCAAATCCCTGTCTTACCTTAGCTCACTGGTCACCATAGCAACACCCACCCGTAGTCTGCGCTCCAGCAGGTATATCTCACTGGTCATCCCCAAAGCCAATGGTAACAATGAAAGAGATAGCATCACTGGAGGCACCGCGTGTATGGGGGGTGAAACAAAGGAGTTTGAGAGAGACTTGGGGCTCTACAGTGAAATTGTATAATAAGAACTAACTGGAACAGCAATAGGCAAGGCATATTGACATGGGAGAGCGGCATAAAGCAATCACAGGTGTTATTCGAGAGAGCTAAGACAACAACTGGTAATGGCGATGAAAGTTTGGGCTGAGGCTAAACAGATAAACAGGACAGGTTACCATGTAAAGGAACAGTCCAGCAGGCATCAGCTGTGCAGCTGAGTGATCATAAGATTGATCCAGTGAAGCATTGCAATACTGGACTATTTTGTATCAAGTCTGCCCAAATGTGCCGAATTGGTCAATTGATACATTTTCAAGTACATAACTATAGAGAACATACAACAATTATATGGTAATACAAAATGTAAGTTTACACACTCCCAGGAATGTCATACATGATGGATCATTAGCTTATACACTAACTTTTACACATCTAGATGGCCGGGCAGGGTGGGTGTTGAGCCAGAGACAGCAGTGGTTCAAACTGTAGAACCCAGTTCCTACATTTGAATATAAAAATGGATTTTATCAAACAAAATTACGCTACATTTTGTCTCAGGGACCCTTAGGATGACAAATCAGAGCAAGATTACTGAATGTAAGTACATTATTTACCTTCAGAGGTGAATGTATCAAACCAGTTGCCGTGATAAGTTTTTTGTTGTTGTGCACTCTCCTCAAACAATAGCATGGTATTTTATCACTGTAATAGCTACTGTAAATTGGACAGTGCAGTTAGATTAACAAGATTTTAAGCTTTCTCGACATATAAGACATGTGTATGTCCTGGAAAGTTTAAAGTTACTTACAACAGTCATGCTAATCACATTAGCGCACGTTAGCTCAACTGTCCCGTATACGGGACACCGATCCCGTAGAGGTTAAAGGGGAAGGATGCTAACCGGCTGACACTGCTACTGCCCTTGAGGACTGGAGTGGAGGCTATGTTCCAATGTCCACACTAGCTTCCCATTATTAGAATGTATATACCCATGCTTCATTCTGTGTTAATGTTAAAGGGGATATTGGAACAAAGCCAATTCAGTGGCCAATTCAGCTATCCCTGATCCTGGAGAGCTGCAGAGTGTATGCAGGCTTTTGTTCCAGCCCAGCACTGAATGACTGGACTGCTTCCACTGAGTAAATGCTCATCAAGACCTTGATTAGTGCTGGGCTGGAACAAAACCATGTACACCCAGTAGATCTCAAGGACCGGCGATCTAGATCACAGAAGTCAATGAATGTGCTTGTGAAATCCAAGGTAATGTCTTAGTAGTTATGAGGTTCTGTCCAGGAGGTGTACTTGTAGATGTACTTGTAGATGTACTTGTAGGTGTACTTGTAGGTGTACTTGGAGATGTACTTGTAAGTGTACTTGTAGATGTACTTGTAGGTGTACTTGTAGGTGTACTTGGAGATGTACTTGTAGGTGTACTTGTAGGTGTACTTGTAGGTGTACTTGGAGATGTACTTGTAGGTGTACTTGTAGGTGTACTTGGAGATGTACTTGTAGGTGTACTTGTACATCAAGTTGCCTCAGACACTACAGAAACAGGAGATAGGCTCCTGCCCTATGGGCCGTTCCGGCTTGGACAAGGCTTACTGACTTACTTTACTTAGTTTTGAGGTAATATTTTTAAACATGTACTGTTGAAAGGGTTACTTGTATTAATAATCCATGTATCAGAATCCCCTATTCCTAGAAATAATCCCAAGTGCATGTTAGTTTGTCCTAAATCTGAAGTACTTGATACCAATAACCCAGTTAATAAGAATGATTTTCAAGAATCATTATAATGCTTGAAGCTTAGACTACTCTCCCTCATGACCAATGTCTCAGTTAATGCTTTGAAAGACACAGACTGCACAGCACCTGGCTTTAAGTGTGTCTGTGTGTGTGTTCGTGTGTGTGTGTGTGTGTGTGCGTGTGTGTGTGTGTGTACTTGTGCACGTCTGTGTCTGCTGTGTGTATCAGCCAGGAAGAGAGAGATGATAGGCCCATTATAAACATCATCAAAGGTAAACATTTACTCAGCATCTCCAGCGCCATTAACGAAAGAGGAAGTATAAAAGAGCCCCTTCTCCTTGGATTGTAATTGCCGTACGCTCTCATGTTACATAAAATAAAGAGCCTCTCTCCTTGGATTGTAATTGCCGTACGCTCTCATGTTACATAAAATAAAGAGCCCCTTCTCCTTGGATTGTAATTGCCGTACGCTCTCATGTTACATAAAATAAAGAGCCTCCCTCCTTGGATTGTAATTACCGTACGCTCTCATGTTGAATAAAATAAAGAGCCTCTCTCCTTGGATTGTAATTGCCGTACGCTCTCATGTTACATAAAATAAAGAGCCCCTTCTCCTTGGATTGTAATTGCCGTACGCTCTCATGTTACATAAAATAAAGAGCCTCTCTCCTTGGATTGTAATTGCCATACGCTCTCATGTTACATAAAATAAAGATCCCCTTCTCCTTAGATTGTAATTGCCATACGCTCTCATGTTACATAAAATAAAGAGCCCCTCTCCTTGGATTGTAATTGCCATACGCTCTTATGTTACATAAAATAAAGAGCCCCTCTCCTTGGATTGTAATTGCCATACGCTCTTATGTTACATAAAATAAAGAGCCCCTCTCCTTGGATTGTAATTGCCATACGCTCTTATGTTACATAAAATAAAGAGCCCCTCTCCTTGGATTGTAATTGCCATACGCTCTTATGTTACATAAAATAAAGAGCCTCTCTCCTTGGATTGTACATTCTCATGTTACATAAAACATTTGCTTGATGGAGCGACGTCAGAGCACAGTCCATCACCCAGCTGCTGAGTGCTTTGTTCCCTCATCACTCACTTTTTCCACCTGCCCGCATGGAGCCGAAGCAGTTGGAACCGGTTTCTCTCTAGCCATATGTTCGGTACAGTCCCGGGTGGTGTTCATTTGGCACCAAACTGAAGAAAATGGAGCCAAACGAGGAGGGACTACCTGGACTATAAGAAATGCTCATTTTGGCTTTCCTTTGCAAAACGTTTTAAAACGTTTTCCATCGCTTCGTTCCCCAACGATCATAACCTGGGTCAAAGCAGGGCAGTTGTGGAAGCTCTTACTCACACAGTCTTGGTTTAGAAAATACCACGGATGGGAGAGGGACACTCGTTGATTGATTAAATGCCCTGGCTTGGTTTAATAATAATGACTATGCAATCATTAGAAGGTCTTTTTATTTTTTTATTTTATTTATTTCACCTTTATTTAACCAGGTAAGCCAGTTGAGAACAAGTTCTCATTTACAGCTGCGACCTGGCCAAGATAAAGCAAAGCAGTGCAATAAAAACAACAACACAGAGTTACATATGGGGTAAAACAAAACATAAAGTCAAAAATACAAACAGAAAATATATATACAGTGTGTGCAAATGTAGCAAGTTATGGAGGTAAGGCAATAAATAGGCCATAGTGCAAAATAATTACAATTAGTATTAACACTGGAGTGACAGATGTGCAAGAGATGATGTGCAAATAGAGATACTGGGGTGCAAATGATCTGCAGGTCTGCAAGTGCTTCTCTCTTCAGAGAGCCTTGATGGTTCATACAATAAGGAGAGTGCTCGTTAAATAGACTACGTATGTCCCAAATGTCCTCCTATTCCCTATATAGTGCACTCCTTTTGACCAGGGCCCTATGTTTAAATGTGTACGCTGTGAATATGTTGACGCTGTGAAATGAAAGGCCTCTGCTGGTCCCCGAGGCATCACCAGGTCTGGTTTGGTTCCTGTGTACGTGATGATGTGACTTTGTGATGCACCTTTCCCCATGAGGGCCGCCGTGTGTCAGCTTGTTTGCCGGGATGACTCAGTATTTTTTTGTCATTTAGCAGACGGTCTTACAGTGGTGAGTGCATACATTCGTACAAACAAAAACAACCTCACACACACATTGAGAGGAACAGGTTCAGCCGCAGTGCAGCGCACCATGAATGGAGAGCATATTGTGACAGCTATTAATATATGCCATTTAGCAGACGTTTTTATCCAAAGCGACTTACAGTCATGCGTGCATACATTTTTGTGTATGGGTGGTCCCGGGGATCGAACCCACTACCTTGGCGTTACAAGCGCCGTGCTCTACCAGCTGAGCTACAGAGGACCACATACATTAAGGACTGTATGTTCTATTCTTAGTGTACACTAGTGATTATACGAGCCGTGCTTTGGTACAATTGTGGGCCACTACAACGTAAAATAAAAACTGTAGCCTACCACAGTACAGGTTTCTCTGACAAACTAGCAGACATTAGAGTGCCGGGTTGCACACGCACTGTGGGCCAACAGCTATAATGCTGTTATAATGCGTCGTATTCGTAAGACTTGCCATAAGCATAAGGCCCCCTTATAATGTCTCATAACAAGTTAACATCAGCTGTTTTGAGTTCATTGAAATATTTCCACATAGAAAGACGTTAAAACATCATAAGGCCTCATACAGGCTTAAAACAAGTAATGCAATTGATTACATTAGAAGTACAGTTTCACATGGTGCGGCGATGCGACAGCGGCAGAAGGCGGTATAGACCTACAGTACTGTAGTTCAGTGACTTAGACTGTATCAGTTGGCTGTGCTATGCAGATTTGTCGGTCAGCCCAAGTGTATAAGTTATTTGAGCTCATGTCAAGTCACAACGGTGGTAACACATAATCGGCTAATACAAAGATCTTACACAGGGACTGCTGTTAAGCACTCCATGCCAACAGTTCAAAAGTTAATGTCATCAGTTTGTCAGTTTCCCTGATGGAGAGAAGATCAGACTGCTTGACACAGGCATTTTCAGGAACAGACTGGGACCAGATAATTTCCCTCCAAGCCCCCACACTGGCCCATTTTTTCCATTGTGTCCCACATTAGCCAAATAATGATGATCATTCTGTGCAAAACCCCCAATTTAGAAAGGCCCACTGGGCATTTTGCCAGAACTGCCCTATGGCCACCCGCCCTCTGAGAAACCCCTTATAAAACTCCAGTAAAATTGTTAATTAAATGCCCGGAAAAGAAACATCACATCGGGGGCTAAACTTTCCACATAATTGGCTAGAAACTCTTCCACATAAGGGGCTAGAACCTTCCACATAAGGGGCTAGAATCTTCCACATGAATTTGGCTAGAACTTTTTCCACAAAACGGGGCAAAATTTCCACTTTAAAAGGGGGGCTGGGAAAACCCCTTTCCCCCCATAACTTGGTAAAATCTTCCCATAAGTGGTAAAAACCCCTTCCAAAAATTAAAGGGGGCTAGAATCTTCCACATAAGTGGCTAAAAACTCTTCCACTAAGGGTGGCTAAAAATCTTCCACATTAAGGGCTAAAAACTTTTTCCACATAACGTGGCTAGAACTCTTCCACATGAAGTGGCTAAAATCTCTTCCCTTTAAACGGGGTTTAAACTCTTCCAATAACGTGGCTAAAAACTTTTTCCCACATGAAGTGGCTAGAAACTCTTCCACATGGAAGTGGGCTAGAACCTCTTCCACATGAAGTGGCTAGAACTCCTTCCATCATAACGTGGCTAGACTCCTCTTCCCAATGGAGAGTGGCTAGAATTCTTCCACCATGAAGTGGCTAGAACTCTTCCACATAAAGTGTCTAGAACTCTTCCACATGAAGTGGCTAGAACTCTTCCACATGAAGTGGCTAGAACTCTTCCACATTAAGTGGCTAGCACTCTTCCACATAACGTGGCTAGAACTCTTCCACATAAAGTGTCTAGAACTCTTCCACATGAAGTGGCTAGAACTCTTCCACATGAAGTGGCTAGAACTCTTCCACATTAAGTGGCTAGAACTCTTCCACATGAAGTGGCTAGAACTCTTCCACATGAAGTGGCTAGAACTCTTCCACATTAAGTGGCTAGAACTCTTCCACATGAAGTGGCTAGGAACTCTTTCCCATCCACTAAAGTGTCTAGAACTCTTCCAACATGAAGTGGCTAAATCTTCCACATGAAGTGGCAGAACTCTTCCCCCATTAAGGGGCTAGAACTCTTCCACAAAAAGTGGTTTAAAATCTTCCACATAACTTGGCTGAACTCTTCCCAAAACGTGGCTAGAACTTTCCCCTGAAGGGGCTAGAACTCTTCCACATTAAGGGGCTAAACCCCCTTTAACATGAAGGGCCCTTAGAACTCTTCCACATAACGTGGTTTAAAAACCCCTTTCCCCAAAAAACGTGGCTGAACTTTTTCCACATAATTGTCTAGAACTTTCCACTTTGAAGTGGTTTAAAACTCTTCCACAAAACGGGGCTAGAACTTTTCCATAACGGGGCTAGAAATCTTCCACATAAAGTGGCTGAACCCTTCCCCCTAAAATTGGTTTAAAAATTTTTCCACATAAGTGGCTAAAAACCTTTTCCCACATAAAAGTGGTTAGAACTTTTCCCAATAACGTGGCTAGAACTCTTCCACATAAAGGGCTAAAAACTTTTCCACATAACGTGGCTAGAACTCTTCCACATGAAGTGGCTAGAACTCTTCCACATAACGTACCTAGAACTCTTCCACATAAATGTCTAGAACTCTTCCACATAACGTGGCTAGAACTCTTCCACATGAAGTGGCTAGAACTCTTCCACATAACGTGGCTAGAACTCTTCCACATAAAGTGTCTAGAACTCTTCCACATAACGTGGCTAGAACTCTTCCACATAACGTGGCTAGAACCCTTCCACATAACGTGGCTAGAACTCTTCCACATAATGTGTCTAGAACTCTTCCACATGAAGTGGCTAGAACTCTTCCACATAACGTGGCTAGAACTCTTCCACATAACGTGGCTAGAACTCTTCCACATAACGTGGCTAGAACTCTTCCACATGAAGTGGCTAGAACTCTTCCACATAACGTGGCTAGAACTCTTCCACCTCCAATTAGAGACATCAGTACAACGTCCAGTTTTAATGTCGATAGGATTGTTGTGAATTCTATGTAACATAAACTAATGTAGTTAGGATCTAGGTTAAAACCAGACCAAAATAAAATGTATGACCTATTCATTTCCTATTGATTCAACATAATCCCATCAGTGAAACCATAATAACATGGAGACAACGTTTCTTCAACTTGTTAGTGTTGATGTTATTTTCTGTTCATGTGAAAGAGCCATAAGCTCCAAACCAAAGTGTGCGTGCAGTTTGGCTGTGAAAAGTGAATGAAGAAAGGCTGTAACTTCATCAGAATGTGTTTTACACACCACCAGACACCCTGCAGCTGTGTCATCCATGCTAATTACATTGCACTCACACTTCATGTGTGGGGAGCTCTGAAGGACAAACTCTGAAATGGCTCCACAGCTGCAAACACGGGCCTGCAGAAACGGACTGGCAATAGGGCAGTTCGGGTAAATGCCAGATGGGCTGGTCCATCTTTAGTCCAGAGGGCTTGTCTAAATTGGGGGTTTTGCACAGAATTATCATTATTTGGCTAACAAAAATCAAATCGAATCAACATTTATTTGTCACATGTGCCGAATACAATAGGTGTAGACCTTATCGTGAAATGCTTACTTACAAGCCCTTAACCAACAATGCAGTTCAAGAAATAGAATTAAGAAAATATTGACCTTTGTAGTCCGTAATAGTTTGTAAGCCCTGCCACATCCGACGAGCGTGAGAGCCGGTGTAGTAGGATTCCATCTTAGTCCTGTATTGACGCTTTGCCTGTTTTATGGTTAGTCTGAGGGCATAGCGGAATTTCTTATAAGTGTCCGGATTAGTGTTCCACTCCTAGAAAGCAGCAGCTCTAGCCTTTAGCTCAGTGCAGATGTTGCCTTTAATCCATGGCTTCTGGTTGGGATATGTAGGTACGGTCACTGTGGGGATGACGTCGTCGATGCACTTATTGATGAAGCTGGTGACTGAGGTGGTATACTCCTCAATGCCATTGGATGAATCACAGAACATATTTCAGTCTGTGCTAGCAAAACAGTCCTGTAGCGTAGCATCCGTGTCATCTGACCACTTCCATATTGAGTGAGTCACTGGTACTTCCTGCTTTTGCTTGTAAGCAGGAATCAGGAGGATAGAATTATGGTCAGATTTGCTAAATGGAGGGCGAGGGAGAGCTTTGTATGCGTCTCTGTGGGTGGAGTAAAGGTGGTCTAGAGTTTTTTTTTTCCCTCTGATTGCACATGTGACATGCTGGTAGAAATTAGGTAAAGTAGATTTAAGTTTCCCTGCATTAAAGTCCCCGGCCACTAGGAGCGCCGCTTCTGGATGAGCATTTTCTTGTTTGCTTATGGCCTTATACAGCTCGTTGAGTGCGGTCTTACTGCCAGTATAAAAAAAAATGTATTCACTAACTGTAAGTCGCTCTGGATAAGAGCGTCTGCTAAATGACTAAAATGTAAATGTAAATGTAAATGGTTTGTGGTGGTAAATAGACGGCTACGAAAAAGTTAGAAGAAAACTCTCTTGGTAGATAGTGTGGTCTACAGCTTATCATGAGGTATTCTATCTCAGGCGAGCAATACCTCGAGACTTCTTTAATATTAGACATCGTGCACCAGCTGTTATTGACAAATAGACACACACCCCCACCCCTCGTCTCACCAGACCTAGCTGTTCTGTCCTGCCGATGCACGGAAAACCCAGCCAACTGTATATTATCCGTGTCATCGTTCAGCCACGACTCGGTGAAACATTACAGAAATATTACAGTTTTTAATGTCCCGTTGGTAGGATAGCCTCGAACGGAGATCATCCAGTTTATTTTCCAATGATTGAATGTTGGCCAATAGAACGGATGGTAGAGGTGGGTTACCCACTCGCTGACGAATTCTCACAAGGCACCCCGATCTCCGCCCCATGTATTTCCGTGTTTTCTTCACGCGAATGACGGGGATTTTGGCCAGGTCTCTGAGAAGCAGTATATCCTTCGCGTCAGACTCATTAATTAAAAAATCGTTGTCCAGTTCGAGGTGAGTAATTGCTGTTCTGATATCCAGAAGCTATTTTCGGTCATAAAAGACGGTAGCAGCAACATTATGTACAAAATAAGTTACAAACAATGCAAAAAAACACACAAAATAGCACAGTTGGTTAGGAGCCCGTAAAAGGCAGCCATCCCTCCGGGCCTTTAAAAGGGGGGGCCCTTTGGGAAAAATGGGCCCTTTTTGGGGGGGCCCGGCCGTGGCCCCCCCGTGTTGAAAGCCCGGGGCCCCTTTTCTGGGCCCCTTTTCTCCCGTGGGGCCCCTTTCAAAAGCGTTTGGGTGGGTGCTGTCCCGTCCCCCCCCCCCTCCCCCTTTTCTTTCTCTGTCCCCTTTTGTCCCCCCCCCCCCCCTGGCCCCCCTTTCCGTTTCCCCCCTCTGGGTTGGGCCCCCTTTCCCCCCCTTTTTTAAAACGTTTGCCTTGGCGTGCCGGGGGGCCCCCCAAAGGGGGGGGTTTTCCCCCCCTTTGGGCCCCCTTTCCTTGGCTTTCCTTGGTCCCCCAACCGAACAAACAACCCCCCCAAAACCCCGGCTCCCGCTTTAAGGGCTTCCCGCTGGGGGTCTGGGGTGGATTTTTTCCCAAACCCCCAAAGGTCCCGCCCCCCCGGGGCCACCCCACCGATTGGGGTTTTTTGGGGTTGGGGGAACGTTTTTCAAAGTTCCTCCCCCGTTCTTCCGTTTTGGGGTTGTTTTCCCGGGAATTTTGCTCCCATTGGTTTGGGAAAATTCTTGGAAATGCCCGAGCTTTAGTTTTTTGCCTTCCCAAAATTTTTAAGTTTTTTATTTTTGTTTTCCCCGGGAAAAAAAAGATTTATACCCAAATTTCCTTTTTCAATTTTAAAAACCCCTTGGGAAATCCCTTCATTAAACTTTGTTCCCATAAGAATGGAACCCCAAAAATGGGGGGGGGTTGTTTTACCTTTTAATTTTTTGTAACACAAGGGTTTTAAAAAAAAACAAAATTATACTTCCTTTTTCTTTTTAACTATTTTTTGGATCTCATTTTAGGGTTTGAATCCAAAAACCCTTTAGGAAATTTTTGGGGGGGTTAAAAAGCAGGGCGGGGGCACCGGTTTGGGTTTTCCTTTTCAAATCCAAGGGTTGAATGTTTTAATTTTACAAGGGTTTAAAAAAACAATACCTTTTTAGAAAATGGCATTCCGGCTTTTCCGAAAAAATTAACATATCCTCCTTGGATCTTTTGAGGGTTTAAACGACCCCTGGAAAAATTTACCCCTTGGGCATAATTGGCAAACCCGGGGCCCAAACCCCCGGGTTTACCCCCTAGGGTTTTTCCAAATTAACCCCCCAAAGAAATTTTAAATATTTGGGGCCCCTTAAAGGAACAATCAGTACCCCCAAAAAGGGAAACATTAAGGGGGGGATTTAATGCAGTAAAAAAAAAAATTGTCATTTGGGGTAAACCCTTTCTCCAAAAAAAGGATCTGTGGGCTTGCCCAAAGATATGGATTTTATTAAACTGGGTTAAATTGGGTCAATGGAACCAGGGTTATTTCCCCCTTTTTGGGGTAACCACCCAGGGAATACCCCCATGGGGCATCTTAGGGGGAAATTTTTACCTTGGGGGGTTGGGTTCAAAAAAAAGCTTGGGGGTTAATTTAAAATTTAATTTAAGGGGTGGTTTTTTCAGTGTTTGGGAATTTTCCTTTTCAATCCTTGGAAGGTTTTATTCTTGGTGGGGTTTTTAAAATCAATCTCCTTTTGGGGGGGGTTTTAATACGTGGGATTTAAAAGGTAATTTAACTTTTTGGTTTTTGCAGTTGGGTTTTAAGGGGGTAGTTTAAATCAAATTTTAAACTTGGGGATTTTTTTAGTAGTTTTATTTTTTTTTTCCAAATTTTTAAATTTTTAGTGTTTTTTAAATAGCTCCCCTTTGGGGTTTTTAACTAAAAAAAAATTTGGTAGGATTTCCGGGGTTGGTTTTGGGGGGTAGTTGTTCCCCAATTTACAAGGGGGGGGGGGGGTTTTTCCCGAGGTTGTGGGGTTTTTTTTTTTTGGGAT